TAATTTGATGTGAGCATGTTGGAATATTTCCTCTGACACCACAGAATCTGGGAGAAGGCTATTAGAGTTCAACATTTCAATTCCTTTAATAAGTCCTAATCTCATAATAGGGAGACACGTTCTCTCACAAAATTGGAGAAGAGAAATTCCCTTCAACAGGCACACTGAAGGCAGTATTATGGGATGCGAGGACCCTGACCCAAAAGAGACCAGACCTGGGTTCTAGGCACAGCTCAGGTGAACAATTGCTCTGCCTCCTCATCTGTATCATGAAATGAAGACTTCGGAGTAGTTTATTTTCTCCTTCTAGCTCTAATATGCCAGGATTCACTTTCTCGACAGTTGCAAATGTGTTCAGGGGCATGGCATCTCCTCATAAGACTGAATATTTGCAGAGCCAAGGGGAATTTCTAAACACTGATTTAACACAACTATGTTTTAAAAGGCAATTTGCTTTTCAAACTAATAAGTTTGGATGGATCAGCCTACAGTGGCATATGTTTTTCATAGAATTAACCAATCTACTCATCTCTCCTTTTAGTTTTACTTATATGAGCTGAGTTAGTTCCAGGGAAAGTGTGTTTTTTTTTTTTTTGTTTTGTTTTTCATTTGCAGAGTTTCCCTCCAAAGTGTACCTTGCTTAAATTCTTCCTTGCTGCCTGAAAAATGTCCACAGACAGGCCTTCCCTGCCTCTCTCTCCCCAAAAAGGAGGGAAAGAGCTTCACTCATGTATTCATCTTGATAATCACTTCCTTAGTCATTGATTGATTTCTTTCTTTAAATATTCAAATATGTAGAGAGAACTACATTAGGCTAGTTATTAGTTGCTATCAAGAAGTTCATATGTAAGTATAAAAAAACAAAGAAAAGTATGATTCAGTATAACAAAAGTGTATAGAAGGTGCTAGTAAGAACCTAGTGAGCGGTTGAGGGACTGTGAGAATTCCTTCATCTTCCCAAACCTTATTCTGGCTTTTTCTTTAAATTCTCAACAACTCTAACCTCCTTCTGTTGGCTTTCCTCTAGACTAGGGTATTTCAAACTTTTTTTGACTAGGACTCACTGTAAGAAATACATTAAATATGGTGTCCAGTTTGCAGATATGTCAATAGATTATAATCAAATAGAAAAATATAGTAGATAGAGATAGACACTTAATCCTTCCATGTGCAATGCACTCTTTATTCGGTTATATTCTATTCCATTCCATTCCTTACCATTTCATCCTATTCCATTCCAGTCCAATCAATTCTTATGAGTGCTGGTTGTTCTCACTAAACTGATTTCTCTACCCATGATTTTTAAGCATACCTGTAACTAGGTCATGATGTAAATACATATATATATTTTTTATATATATATATTTTAACTGAGGTTTACATTTTAAACCTGAGCAATACTTGTTTACAGCCCAAGGCCCAGACCCAGACATTTCTGCATCAGAGAGCACACCCCAGGCAAATGGCCCTTGACACTAAGATCACTCAGACCCCACGCTGGGAGAGTTCCGTGGTGAAGAACTGGGAGGCCAGTTAATGGCCCCTGCCTTCAGCAGCTGGTGCTTAAGGAGTGGGCTGCCTCCTGACAGCGTGCTTCAGAGCATGCCAATAGCAGTTACCTTTCAAAGCATAGTTGTATTAAATGAGTTCCTAAAATGACCTGGATTCCAGGAAGGAAGCCTCAGGGGATGTGCGTGAATGTCTTGTGAAGATCGTCATTGCTGATACCAGTTGTCCCAGTAAAAGGCATTTAGCAGACTCGCATGTGTCTGGCGTGGTTGGAGTCTGCCTGGTTTATGGATTGTTGATGTTCACAAGCAGGAGGGAAGATGGATTTTTGAAATAAATCTTTGCCCAAAGCAATCAGAAGCCCTCCAGATCACCTATGGTGAGGGAGAAGGCAGTGTGCAGATGAGAAAGAGCACAGAATTGTGCCTTAGAAGACACGGAATTGAGTCTAAAACTGTCTCTTTGTGTGACCATGATCCAGTTATTTAACCTCTTCATACTTAGTTTCCATACAAATAGAATAGATATAACAATACCCTCCTTTTGACTTCACAGAGACATTTTAGGGATAAAAACAATAATGTATGTCAAAGTGCTTTGCAGTGTCCCAAACTCTTACACAAATGATAATAGGTAGTATTGAATATGAATGATGATAATTAATAGAATGCCTTCAAGAAGGAAACAGACCCCAGCAACATTAAAAACAGACAAATAAAGCAGAGCAAAAAGTGATGAAACTAGAATTCAAACCCAGGCCATTCTGGTTTTAAAGTTCTTGCTGTGACCCACAATGCTGTATGGTAGCTGTTCTCTCCCATGCTGGGTGCTCCCTAATGGAGCAGCATTCTTGCCTGTCTGTTGGTGTTCACAGTGGCTGGTTCAGAGAACGTGCTCAGTTTGTATCCCTTACACATAAATATTGTCACGTATCCTTCTTTCTTTCTGGGACTCAAATTATTATCGTAGGTTTTTTTTTTTAATTGAAATTACTCTGTCGTGCAGGTGAGCTCACTGTAGTATTTGGAGTAGTGAAAAAACAAGTAAAATTTGCCCTGGATTCAGGAAACAAATTGTTCAAGCTCAAAAATGTATAACTAAATCAAAACACCTGTTTTGTTCATTTTTAAATATGGGCACCTACAAGGCACAAATGCCATCAAGAAGTCACACAGAAAGGCTCACAGTGCTATTGTACCAGCACTGCTAAATAAGTTTGAAGGCTGAGATTGGTGTCCTACCTGGCTGAGTCACATCTGGCTCAATTTAGGACACGTGCATTTGGAGTTTCTTGCCTTGGCCTGGGTCCAGCAAGGCAGAAATCATAGATTTAGAATCTAGAGTTTTGCCTGTACTTATTATGCACACACTCCAGAGAAACTCATTATATTAGTCACCCAGGTACTGCCAGAATGAAGTACTCACCAGCATCTGGGTGGCATTAACAGTAGAAATTTATTTCCTCCTCATTCTGGACCAGGATTAAGATGTCTATAGGGTTGGTTTTTTCTCTTCTTGGTTATCTTCTCTTTATTTGTTTTCCCTCTGTGTGTGTCTATGTCCTAGTCTCTTCTTATAAGGGCCCTAGATTATATTGGATTAGGGGCTACCCTAGTAGCCTCATTTAACCTTAATTACCTCTTTAAAGACCCTCTCTCCAAAATTGAGTCACACTCTGAGGTATTGGGGGTTAAGACTTCAACATATGAATCTGAAGGAGGAGGACATCATTCAATCTATAACAGTCACAGAGTGGGATGACATTAAAATGATTACAATGGGATCTATAAGTGACACTTTCAGCTTTCATGAAATCTTGGGACCTGGAATTGCAAGGGAGACAGAAACGACATTCTTTAGTTTTGTGCACATTTTACTTTCAGAAAAGAAATTTATTTCAATTTCTTTTCATGTTTCTGTTGCTATACTAAAAGGTCTCTTACACATTTGGGAAATACCACATTATTTCCAAAAAAGGGGGTTATGTGATGACACGAAGGTGCTCTATTTATTCTGTGAGAACCACTCATTGTACATACACATGCATTTTCTCACAAGCATCATAAAGGAGGGAGATGATATTTCTCCATAATGGAAAACTACTACAGGTCACATTTATTTGTTCTTCTAGAACCAATAATGTAGAATTGAAGACAGGCCCTTGTGCTGGCCTTTTACAGGGCTTAGGCTTCTGGGTAGGGCCTGTACCCAAACTGATGTGATGCTCGCCACTCTGTCTGGACTTTATTGCCTGAAGATACTCTTCGGACTTGGTATCAGACAACTTTCTATACTGATTTTTCTTTTTATGGAGACAGAGTCTCACTCTGTTGCCTGGGCTAGAGTGCTGTGGCATCAGCCTAGCTCACACCAACCTCAAAGTCCTGGGTTCAAGCAATCCTTTTGCCTCAGCCTCCCAAATAGCTGGGACTATAGGCATGCACCACCATGCCCGGCTAAGTTTTTCTATATATTTTTAGTTGGCCAATTAATTTTTTTCTATTTTTAGTAGAGATGAGGTCTCGCTCTTGCTCAGGCTGGTCTCAAACTCCTGACCTTGAGTGATCCGCTCGCCTCGGCCTCCCAGAGTGCTAGGATTACAGGCGTGAGCCACTGCGCCTGGCCCTCTATACTGATTTTTGCTATTATGGACTCTGCCTGGATTTTTGGCTCTCAAAGAGTTACCTATTTTCCTTTCTTCTTAAAAATTCAGATTGTTGAAGTATAATTTGTATATAGTAAAATTTACCCTTGTTTTAGGTCTAGAGTTTGAAGACTTGAAAAACGTATACAGTCAAGTAGCTAACACTGCAATCAAGATAGAGATCATTTCCATCCACCCCACAAAAATCTTTCCACCTCCCTTATAATCAATAATGCCCCCCATTCTCAGCCTCTGTCAGCACTGATCTTATTTCTGTACCTATAGTTTTACCTTTTCCAGGATGTCGTATAAATGGAATAACATAAGGAATCATATAAATAAATCTCCTAAAGGTTTTAAGGTTCATTCGATGTTATCGTAGGTATCGATAATTTGTTCCTTTATATTGCTGAGTAGTAAGTCTTCCATAATACAGATTCCCCATTTGTTTTTTCAGTTAGCAGCTAATGGACATTCAGGTTTTTTCCAACATTTTCGTATTATGTATTAAAGCTTCCAGAAACTTTTCCACACAGGTCTTTGTGTAGACAAGTCTACATTTTGGGGGTAAGTACTGTAGATTGAATCCTCTGAGAGTAGATTCAAAGACTGTATCAGACATGCCAGGGATTCAAGGAAATGCTCATGAAATAAGAAGTGGAGACAACAGGGAGAAGGCAGGGAGGGGCTTCAGACCCACGATGCAGATATAAGACTTGAGAAGAAAAAGAAGAAAGAAGAGAACTGAGCAGGGAAAACCACAGATTGGCACACTTCTAGGACAGGTTCTGCCAAGGCTTTGGTGAGTCTTTGAGCTAACATTGTCTTTGTTTTTATTTTATTTTAGCGTATTCTAACACTGTCTTTGGAGAAGTTATTTGTCACAAGGAATGGTCTTGATTAGGCCCATTCACTGGGCTCTGAGCAGGAGCAGAACAGCCCACAGGAAGTGTGTTGTTCGTGTGATTGCATTGATGGATCCAGAGAGGCAGCCACTGGGCCATAAGTCAGTTATGCTCCTGCAGTGGAGACATGAGTGTTCCAGCAACCTATTAGTGCAATCCCTGGGTCCTGTGGTAAGTGTATGTTTAAGTCCAAGAAACCACCTAACTTATCCTGAATGTCTGCACCATTTTGCATTCCCACTAGCAATATATGAAAATTCCAGTTTCTCTGTCTCTTCACCAGCACAGTGTATTTTCTGCTTTTTGTTTGTTTGTTGCTTTAATTGGAGCCATTCTGTTAAGTGTGTACTACTCATGGTACTTTCAATTTGCATTTCCCTAATAAATAAACGTATTGAAAGTCTTTTCATGTGCTTATTTTTCATCTGCATTTTTCTTTCTTTCTTTCTTTTCTTTTTTCTTTTTCTTACTCTGTTGCCTGGGCTAGAGTGCTGTGGCATTAGCCTAGCTCACAGCAACCTCAAAGTCCTGGGCTCAAGCAATTCTCCTGCCTCAGCCTCCCTACAGGCACGCACCACAATGCCCGGCTAATTTTTTCTATATAGTTTTAGTTGACCCATTAATTTCTTTCTAGTTTTTTTTTTTTTTGAGACAGAGTCTCGCTTTGTTGCCCAGGCTAGAGTGAGTGCCATGGCGTCAGCCTAGCTCACAACCTCAAACTCCTGGGCTCAAGCAATCCTCCTGCCTCAGCCTCCTGAATAGCTGGGACTACAGGGATGCGACACCATGCCTAGCTGATTTTTTCTATATTAGTTGGCCAATGAATTTCTTTCTATTTATAGCAGAGACTGCATCTCGCTCTTGCTCAGGCTGATTTCGAACTCCTGACCTCAAGCAATCCGCCCACCTCGGCCTCCCAGAGTGCTAGGATTACAGGTGTGAGCCACCACGCCTGGCCAATTTCTTTCTAGTTTTAGTAGAGATGGGTCTCGCTCTTGCTCAGGCTGGTTTTGAAATCTTACCTTGAGCAATCTGCCAACCTCAGCCTCCCAGAATGCTAGGATTACAGGCATGAGCCACGGCGGTGCCTGGCCTCCATCTGCATTTCTTCTTTGGTGATGTGACTATTCAAATCTTTTGCCCATTTAAAAAATAGGATAGTTATAATTAAGCATAAGAGGGTTTTTTTTAATGTATTCTGGGTACAAGGTATTTAGTAGATACGTGTTTCGTAAATATTTCTCCTAATTTGTGGCTTTTAAAAAATGCCTTTGATAGTGTCTTTCAGATAGTAGAAATTTAAAAATTTTGATGACGTTCTATCAATTATTTTTTAGTGGCTCATGGGCCTTATCTAAGAAGTCTTTGCTTAACCAGACAGACCATAAAGATTTTCTCCTAGGATTTTATCTAGAAGTTTTATAGTTTTAGGTTTAACATTTGTTCTGTGATCCATTTATCCTGACATTTATATACAGTATGAGATATCAGTGGAGGTTCAGTTTTTAGCACATGGATGTCCAATTGTTCCAGTACCATTTTTTGAAAAAAATATCCTTTCTCCAATAATTGCCTGAGTATTTTTGTCAAAAATCAACTGATCCTATATTTGTGGGCATATTTCTGGACTTTCTATTACGTTCCATTGATTTATATTTCTATCATTATGCCAATACCACATTGTTTTGATTACTGTGATTTGATTGAAGACTTAATTTTGATTACATCTTGAAATCAGATTGTGTTTCTCTTTCAAATTTGTTATTTTTCAAAATTGTTTTGTTATTCTAGGTTCTTTGTTTTTCTTTACACATTTAGAATCAGCCTGAAAATTTCTTCAAAAAAAATCTATTAGGATTTTGATTGAGATTGCATTGAAACTATAAATCAATTTGGATACTACTGACACTGTAAACAGTATTGAAACTTTTGATACATGAACATAGCATATCGTTCCATTTATATAGATCTTCTTTAATTTATCTCATCAAAGTTTTATAGCTTTCAGCACATAAATCTTGTAAATGTGCTGTTAGATTTATCCGAATGAAATTTGGATTTATTCGTGTTTTTGATGCTATTGTAAATGGTATTATTTTCTTCTGATTTTGTTTTTTAAGATTTAACTTGAATTTAATTTAATAAAAATTCAATTTCATTTTCCAGTTGTTCATTGCTGGTATATACAAAAGTCATTGGCTTTTGTATATTGATTTTGTATCCTATGACCTTTCTAAACTCACTATTTTAGTTCTAGTAACTTTTTTGAGGCTTGTTTAGAAGTTTTTACATAGGCAATTGCAGGACCGTCTTCAAATAAAGAGATTTTAATTTTTTGTTTATACTATGTGTCCTTTTCATTTCTTTCTCTTACCTTATAATAGTGGCTAGGAGTTCCAGTATAATGATGTAGTGAAATGGTAAGAGGAGATATCCTAACCTTGTTCTTAATCGTAGGAGGAAACCATTCATTTATTCAACACTTAATATGATATCAGCTTTTCAGATGGCCCTTTATCAGGTCAAGGAATATGCTTCCTATTCCTAGTTTCCTCAAAGCTTTTTTTTGTTGTTGTTTAGCCATGAAAAGTATTTTGTGAAATATTTTTTCTCCATCTATTGAGATGATCATATGGTTGCTTTTTTCTGTCTGTTAATATGGTAAATTACATTGATTTATTTTTAAAACATACCATACATTTAGAGTCTCCCATTTAGAGTGTCCAATTCACTTGCATATTCACTTGTAAAGTATTTGTCACCGCAGTCAATTTTAGGGTATTTTTCTCACTTCAGAAAGAAAGTTCATATTCTTTAGCTTTTGCCCATGCCCCCATTCACCTATTTCCCCCTAGTTCTGAGAAACTACAAATTTGGTTTTTATCTCCATAGTTTTGCCTATTCTGGACATGTATATAAGTGAAATCATATAATATGTGGCCTCTTGTGACTGGCATCCTTCACTTAGCATGGGCTGGGAAAGGTTTATCCATGTTGTAGCGTGTGCCAGTACTCTATTTCTTTTTATGGCCAAATAATATTTCATTAGATTAATATGCCATGATTTTAATTTATTCTTCAGTTTATTTATTCATCAGTTGATTAACTTTTCCTTTTATCTCTTGGCTTTTATGAATAATGTGGCTAGAAATATCTGTGTATATATTTTTGTGTGGACTATATTAATATATATTCATTTTCTCTTGGGTACATACCTAGAAGTGGAATTTCTTTTGGATACATACCTAGAAGTAGAATTGCTGGATCCTATGGTAACTCTATGTCTAACCATTTGAGAAACTGTCAGACAGTTGTACAAAGCAGTACCATTTGACATTCCCATCACTAGTATATTATGGATCTGATTTCTCCACATCTTTGCCAACACTTATTATTTGACTTTCTGGTTCTAGCCATCCTAAGCAGGTATGAAGTGCTATCTTATTGTGGTTTGGGTTTGCATTTCCCTGATTACTAATAACTTTAGTATCTTTTAATGTACTTATTGGCCATTTGTGTACCTTCATCAAAAAATATCTATTTAGATCTATTGCCCATTTTTTAAATTGGGTTATTTGTCTTTTTATTATTGAGTTGTTATGAGTTTTATTTATATATTCTAGATACAAGTCCCCGATTAGAAATATGATTTGCAAATATTTTCTTCCATTAGATGGGGCTGTCTTTTTGCTTTCTTGATGGTGTCCTTTGAAACACAAAAGTTTTTAATTTTCATGAAGTTCAATTAATTTATTTTTGTTTTGTTGCTTATGACTTCAGTTTCATATCTAAAAATCCTTTGCCAAATTGGAGGCCATGCAGATTTATCTCTATGCTTTCTTCTAAGAGTTTTATAGTTCTAGCTCTTATATCTTAGGTCTTTGCTCCATTTCAAATTAATTTTTGTGTATGGTGTGAGGTAAGGGTCCAATTTCACTCTTTTGCATATGGCTATCCACTGTCTCAGCACCAGTTGTTGAAGACCATTACCCATTAAATGGTCTTCAAATTCTTGTCAAAAATTAGTTGATCATAGACACATGATTTTATTTCTGAACTCTTAATTCTACTCTATTAATCTACATGTTATCTTAATACAATGCCACATCATCTTGATTTCTATTTCCTTGTAGTAAGTTTTGAAATTGGGAAGTGTGTGCCCTCCTACATTTTTCTTCTTCTTGAAGATTATTTGAACTATTCTTGGTCCTTCACAATACCATATTAACTTTATAATTAGCTTGTCTTCTATAAAAAAAGTTGGCTAGGATTCTGATAGGAATTGTGCTGAATCTGTAGATTAATTTTGGTAGTATTGTAATCTTAATGATATTAAGTTTTCTGATCCATAAGCATGGGGATACTTTTTTCTGTTGATTTGGATCTTTCTTTCAATAATGCTTTCTAGGTTTTAGAGTTTATGTTTTGTGCTTCTTTTAAATGCATTCCCAAATATTTTATTCTTTTTGATGTTATTGTAAATGGAGTTGTTTTCTTAAGTTCATTTTTGGCTATTCATTGCAAGTATATAGGAATATAAATGAGTTTTCATATATTGATCTTGTGTGCTGCAATCTTGCTAAAGTCATTTATTAGTTCTAATAGTTTTAGTGAATTTCTTATGATTTTCTGTACATAAGATCATGTCAATAAATAAGATAGTTTTACTTCTGTCTTTCCCATCTGGATGCCTTTTTGTTTTTTTTTCCTTTTCTGGACAATGTCCTGGCTAGAACTTCTTTTTTTTTTTTTTGAGACTGAGTCTCACTCTGTTGCCCGGGCTAGAGTGCCCTAGCTCACGGCAACCTCAAACTCCTGGGCTCAAGCAATTCTTCTGCCCTAGCCTCCTGAGTAGCTGGGACTACAGGCATGCACCACCATGCCCAGCTAATTTTTTTTCTATAGATTTTTAGTTGGCCAATTAATTTCTTTGTGTTTTCAGTAGAGACGGGGTCTTGCTCTTGCTCTGGCTGGTTTCAAACTCCGGACCTTGACCTATCCACCCGCCTTGGCCTCCCAGAGTATTAGGATTACAGGCGTGAGCCACCACGCTCGGCCCTGGCTGGAACTTCTAATACAAAGTTGAACAGAAGTTGTAAGAGTATACAATCTCCTAATTTTTCTGATTTTAGGGGGAAAATATCCAGTTTTTTATTATTAATATGATGTTAGCTATAAATTTTTCATAAATACCCTTTATTGAATTAAAGAAGTTTCATTATATTCCTAGTTAGTTGAGTAATTTTATCATGAAAGAATGTTGGACTTTGTCAAATGTTCTTTCTGTCTATTGAGATACTGATGTGGCTTTTACAAATTTTATTGACATAATGTCTTAAATTAATGAATTTTTTAATGTTAAAACACCCTTAGCGAAGAAATAATTACTGGAAAAAAAAAAAAAAAAAAAAAAAAAAAAAAAAAAATGTTAAAACACCTTGAATTCCTGAAATAAACCTCATTTGGACATAGTATATAAATCTTTTTGTACCTTGCTAGATTTGGTTTGCTACTAATTGATTTTTCTATGTTTTAAACCAATCTTGCATTTTAGGTATCAACTTTACTTGTCCATAATGCTATTACCATTTTAATCTATGACTGAATTTATATCCTGAGAATGTATTATTTTTTTTATGTGCATGTTCCTGAGGGATACTGATCGATAATGTTCTTTTTTTATTTTGTCTTTATTTGGTTTTGGTATCATGCTAGTGCTGCCCTCAAAAAGTGAGTTGGAAAATGCTTCCTCCTCTTTCTTTTTAAAAAAACTTGGTGTTGAATTGATATTATTCCTTCTAAAACATTTAGCAGAGTTCACAAGTGAAGCTATTTGGGCCATTGGTAAAAATGTAAGTTAGACTTCAAAGTCTTTAATAGAGACTAGACTATTAAAGTTATCTATTTCTTCTTTAGTAAACTTGGATAGTTTATATCTATCAAGGAATTTTTTCATTTATCTATCATCAGATTAACTGGCAAAAAGTTGTTTAAAATATTCCCTTATTGTCCATTTTGCATCTATTGGAGCTGTAATGATGTTTGCTCTTTCATTCCTGATGTTGGCCATTTGTGTATTCTCTCTCTCTCTCTCTCTTTTTTTTTTGCTTGATCAGTCTAGTTAGAGCTTTATCTACTTTATTGACAAAGTCTGTCATAAGCAAATGAGATATAATACATGTGAGAGCACATGTGACAGTTTTTAACAGTTTGCCTTGTTATCCCAGTATGAACTTTAAACAATCTATTGCCAAAGTGTGAAACAAGACTGGTAAGAAATTTGGTTTCAAAGATTAACCACCAGCCATGACAATGATGATAATTATAATGGTAATAATAATAAGACTTAGTATTTAGTACATTCAGTCCTTGTGGTTAATGGTTTATATGGATTATAGCACAAGTACTTTCATGTGATATTATAAATATAAAAATGAGATAATAAATACCCCAAACCTACAGTAAGCAAAAAAAGGATCTGCATACTTATCACATTCTATGTCTGTTTTCCATTCACTGCTACTCGTTTGACATGGGAGATACAGGCAGGGAATATTTTCTGAGTGAGGTTGCTGAAGAATGGTATTACTTTACTATTCGGTAACATCTTACTCAGGTGTCAGGGTCAAAAACCAGCAAGGGATTTAAAATCCAGTTACTGGTCTGTAATCTCCCTTCTTAAACTGTGTGGTCAGATATGTTTTGAAACTCAGAATTTTCATATTTTATAATGGTGATAAGATGCGTGTGTTCTCTTCTAGTTAACACCTTTGGCAGGATCTATGACAATATTTCATTGCATCTTATTTTTTTGTGCGGAAAATGATGACCATAAATAATCTTGTAGTATTTGCTGCCAAATGAGTTCTTCAAAATCCTATTCTTCAAAGATCTTTTGGATTTCAAGATTGTAAATAAGAAAGGACTGTAAATATATATGTCAAAATTGGCCATGAATAATATTCTAAATCTGCCATAAAATATGGTATATTGGTTTTGTGTACAGTATTCCATTTTTCCACTAACTCTAATATAGCTAATTGTTCCTCCTGGGTAGAACAGATTGCTGTTGCTTTAGTTGAGCACCAGATGAAATAATTGGCTTTCATTTAGGGCTTATGTTTGAATGAAAATTATGCTTTTCTCTTTTTATTTTTTTGGCCAAGCTTGTGTAGTTGAATTTGGGCAGATTAAATCAATGTATGTTTGATACAACTCAACCATAGAATACTTGCTTGAACAGTTTTACATGAGCCAACAGGAATAGACAAGAATAAAAATAAACACCAGAGCCAAACTATAGCCTTCCTAATCAGTGACATATTTATAAAAAGTTAAAATGTATGCACAGAGATGGCAGAAGATGATGTATTCTGAGGTCTGCACAAAAATAAGTTAATGTGGCAACACAAGTTAATGAATCAGTGGTATCCAATGTGTTAACACTTAGGAGTTTTTGTACTGCCTTTTTAAAAGTAATTCAAATATATTTTTTAGAAAATGAAATTTGTATCAAATCTTAAGGCTGCACAAAACAGCGTGGTTATCTCCATAGTTTATTCTAATGTTTTTATGGTTTATTCTAGATGTAGACAACAACACAGCATCAACATCAAAAATAACATATTCATCATAATTAATGCAAGTAACATTTCTTGAGTACTTACTATGTGCCTAGCACTGTTCTATGTGCTTTAGAAATATTAATTTATTTATTAATTTAATAAATACCAAGCATTTGCTCTGTATTAGGCATTGTTTTAGACATAATGGGGAGAGATTTTACTTCCCAGTGGACATTTGGCAATCTTTGGAGACATTTTGCATGTTATAACTGAGAAGGTACTTTTGGCATTTGGTGGGTAGAAGCCAGGGTTGCTGCTAAACATCCTGTAACACACAGGATAGTCTCTTACAACAGAGAATTATCCTGCCCACAATGTCAATGGCACCAACGTTGAGAAACCCTGTCTGGTAGACAGAGATACAGCAGTGTACAAAATAAATAAAATGTATGCCTTCCTGGGACTTATATTTTAGTGGGGAGAAAGAAATCAATTAAAAAGAAAATATTTATTGATTATATTACAAAGTGATGAAGGTTTTATATGACAAAGAAAAAAACAACTGGGGAGGAAGGATAGGAAGGATGTGTGTGTGGTTGGTGGAGGGTTGGGATTAGAAATTTAAATAGAGTGTTTGGGGGAGGCTGTGGCTAAGAGGTGACTTTGGAGGAAAGCTTTGAAGGAGGTGAGGGGGGCAGGTACATGGACACCTAGGGGAAGATCATGTGCAGGGGGAACAGCACAAGGACAGGCCCCAGTCAGGAACATGCATGATTTTTTCAAGGGGCAGCAAGGAGACCATTGTTATCTGAGGAGAGTCTAGGAGGTGACACAAGATTAGAAGAATTGTGGGGGAGGGGAATTGTTAGCGTTTGCAGTCCAATGTAAAGCTTTGAGTTTATCCTGAGTAAGTGGGAAACCATTGCAAGGTTCCGAGCAAAGGAGTGTCATGAACTAATTTGTGTTTTCAAAGCATCCTGCCAGCCACTGCATTGAGAATTGACCACAGAGAACTGAAGGTAGAAGCGAGCAGACCATTAGGAAGTGACTGCAATCATCTAGCAAGAGATTGTGGTGACTCAAACAAGGTTTCCAACCATTAAAGGTGAGAAGTGATTGGATTCTGGGTGCATTTTTCAGGATTGAGGTGATATAATTTTGTGAATGCATATGGAGTATGGGGAAAGGAGCCAGAAATTTTACTTTTTTGTTTGCTTGTTTGGGGATGGAGCCACTTAAAGAATAGAATTGTCATTTATTGAAATGGGGAAGGCTAGGATAGGAGTAGTTTGAGGATGGAAATCAGAATTGTCACATTTAATTTGGATGTGTTTAATTTTAGGCATTTATTTGAACATTCAAGGGAGATGTCCAAACATGTAAACCACCCTATGAAGTAGGTACTACTATGATCCCCATTTTGCAGAGAAGGAACCAGTAAACGAGAGGTTAAGTAACTTGTCCTTGATCATCCAGCTGTTAAAGTGGTGTAGCTTGGATTCCAATAATACACGTGGATGTCTTTCTAAAATGTCTCATCAGATCCTGTCTCCTGGGATGGCATCTCTTGGTCTCCTTCTCTAATGATTGCCTTGACCCGGCTCTCGGATAAAGAAATTTTCTGCATTGATGTGAGGTCTTGAGACAGAGCTTTTCTTATGCAGTTGGTAAGTGAAATTTAAACTGCTATCTATGTCACCTTTTTCTTTGACTGGTCATTGTAAAGCCAACCACAGTGGAAAACCTAAGGAAAGGATAAGAATTTCTCAGTTGCAGGAAGCTTGAAAAATAATCACTTATTGGGCATGTACATAAGACACAAATGTTATTTTGACTTATTGAACATTCATATTAGAAAGATCACTGGCTTTGGGGTCCCACAGTCAGACCTGCATTAAAACACAGCCTACATCACCCACTAGACACGGTATCATGGAGACAAAACTTAACTTTTCTAAGTTTGTGTTGAGCAAATGAGATAGGATGCCGTATGGGAGAACATTATCTCTGTGATATGTGCAAGCATATCAATGGCTTTTTCACCCTGAGGATTATTATTATTATTTTTTTTTTGGCAGGAGGAATTATTAATTAATGGATTCAGAGTTCCAGCTGGGGATGATGGAGCATAGTGATGGTTGCACAACAATGTGAATGTACCTAATTTAATGACACTAAACTATATACAGAAAGTTGGATAAAATGGTAAATTTTATGTTATATATAGTTTACCACAATTTAAAAAATAAACCAAAGACAGAGCAATAAACAAACAACAGGAAAAGGAGACTCCATGTCACTTTCTGAGGTGAGAGTCAGAATTGTGGGTACGGAGGGGAAGAGAGGTCCACAGTCACGAATGAGAGTATAGGGTTGATCTTATACCTGATCAGCCCAGTGAAGAGGTCCATTCTCCACTGCTTCAGCCGCCCTATAGCTTCCTGCCCTGTAGTGCTTCTGCAAAAGCAGGTTGAGGAGGAAGAAGAGAAAAACTCCCAGTCCATCTCACACAGGCACCCTCTGCCCCAGAACACTGGTTACAGGATTTTTTGCCAGAATCTTTGTATTTATACACACACACACACACACACACACACACACAGCCACTTTCTTTAAAATAAGGTCAGTGTGTTACTTTAATGTGTTACTGTCATAACTTAGTGATTTAAAATAACACAAATTCTTCATCACACTGTTCTATGTGTCAGAGATCTGGGTTGCCTCAGCTGGTTTCTCTGATTCAAGTTTCCCAAGGCCAAAATCAAGGTCTCAGCAAGACCGTGTTCCTTCCTAAAGGCTCTGCAGATGAATACATCTCTAAGCTCATTTGGGTTGTTGGCCAAGTTCATGTCAGGACTGAGAGTACTGTTTTCCCTTGCTGGCTGCCAGCCAGGCTGGTCTTTTGCTTCTAGAGCCAGATTAAATTCTTTCTCATACTTCCTGGTGAACTTTCTCCACCAACAGTGGATGGAGTTCCCCTTATGTATTGAATCTCTCTGATTGGCTTTTCCTTCTTCTTCCCCTTTTAAGTGCTCATTTAATTAGATTGGGCCCATTCAGATAATCCAGGATGATCTCTCTATTTTGAGGATTAGTAATCTTCATTACATCTGCAGAGACCCTTTATAGCGGCATGTAGATTAGCGTTAGATGGAATAACCAAGGGGCTGGAAGTTTATGGGGCCCTCTTTAGAATAGTTTTGCTTCCCACAGTCAGGCTGGCTGCTAGGAAGCACCGCAGCATTAGCAAGTCTTTACTGTGGTCAGCAGGGCCTCCTGAGCCCCCTGCTCCTGGAGAGAACACCCGGGCTTTGGTGATAAGCTCAGGACACCAGCTTCCCCTTTCTTTATTCCACGTTTTTTTTTTTTCTTTTTTCCAGCAGAGATATATCTGTTTGCTTTATTGCTGGCTGTTTTCTATTAGGGCCACTCTGATACATGGGGCATCCATGAAACAATCTTGCAACTCAAAGGGGTAGGGCTGGAGGGCTGAATTGTTGCTGAACTAGAAGGTCCTTTGTGCGCTCTGTGCATTTGGTCGTTCCTGCCCAGCAACACTGCTCTCTAGGTCTACGGGGGATGGGGGAGGATTTGCATCACTCTTCCTTCCCACTAATGGGAACACTAGGGTTTTGATATACTAAGGAAATAACAAACATACCTACACACAACACTACATAAATAGACACACAAAGTTCAAAAACAAAAAAATCTCCAAACCAGCTGCATGAAAAATTAATCCTATTTACTATTTTCTCCCCAAAAAGAGTATGTGTCTGTGTGGGGGGGAGGGGAGTGCCTACTTACTTTTATCATGTACATAACTAAAAAAGGTCTTTTCAGTGGTCCTTTTCCTCAGAAAGAAAGTCTCTTCCAGTAAGATTTCATAGCTCTACTACTAGAAAGAAAAGTAACTACTAATTTTTTAAAATAAAATTTAGAGAATAATTATTTTGCCTCACTGGGAAGGTAACCACACATTTGTTGAGTACCTGCAATGTACCAGGCACTATGCTAAGTGATTTTTATGTGTTACTTCAGCTAGTTTGCAAATGAAATATATGAGACCCCCTGAAACTTTAAGCATTACCCAAATGTTATGTTCTCACGGAGGAGTTTCGTGATCCCCTCTCCCATTTGAAATTCCAGCAGCCCTAGCGCCCATCCTTGTCTGTACTTTGTATTTCTTTAAATAGTTTATATTAGCTTTGAATTGACTATAATAGTTTTGTTACAATTTTGTTTATTGTCTTTTCTTACTCTAGAATACATGCTTTGCGAAGGAAGAGGTTTTGTCTGTTCTGTTTGCTGTTCAGGACAGTGCCTGGCAAATATAGGTGCTTAATGAATAGCTTTTGAATGAAGAAATGAATAATCCTCACCGCAATCATCCCTAGGGGCTTGGCTCTATTTTTATACCTATTTTAAGAATGTGAAAACTGAGGCTGAGCAAAATGGAGCAAGGTACCTGGAGCCTTCCACTAGCAGGAGGCAGAGCCTAGTCGCATGATAGTGAAATGGTTATGGAGTTTGGAAAGCCCACCACTGAGTATGATAGCAGCAGTAGAGGCTGATAATTACTCACATGGACTCAGGAGCCAGTCTTCTTCAGTTCAGTGCCCAGCTCTGCTGTTTGACCTTGGGCAAAGTATTTCACCTCTCTCGGCATCAGCATTCCCCATCTGACAGTGGGAGATGATAATAACACTGCAATTACACCATAAGGTGTCTATGAGGATTAAATGAATTAATACAGGGACAATACTTAGAACAGTGTAGCGAGTGCTATTATAAATATTACAGATTATTATATTTTATTTTTTCTTTAACTTGGAACTCATATACACCTGGCTGTCATCCTCTGCTTCTACACAGTGGTGTTTTGCATTTTCCAAATGTGTCCAAACCTTGACAATGTATTTGTTTACACATATATTTAGCTAATGTGTGTGGGTGTGTATGAAATTACCCATTATGCAAATGGCTTTGGTTTAGTAAGCAGAATATGCCTGGATACGGTTAATGGAAAATTGTTTTGTGTAACTTGGAAAACAGAAGAATCATAAAAGAATCCTCTGGAGAGACAATCTGATGAAGGTGTAACCAATACATTTGCAGATTTTTGTTTTTAAATAATAACCAGCCACTAATGGCCCAGAGCAGAACATTGATTTATGTGCAACAAGGTGGGCTGTGTTTCTCTGCCACGTTGCTGGCTGTGGTCCTAGGTATTAAGCTGCCTTTTTAAAACCCAAGATCTGTCAATCCAGCTTTCAAGAAGGAAGCTTTGAAATAGTGAGGAGGCTTTGTCATTTGCATGGATGGGATCTGGAAGATTTTTTTGTGCTTTGTTTGGTAGGCACCCTTTACATTTTGCTGAGCTAGAATCTTGCCCGTTATACATTGTGCAGTCAAATGCCTTGGCAGACTGGTGAGGCTCTGAAACTCTTTTAGAGAGAAGGCTCTTGGAGTTGGTCCTTCCTCGGGTGCCCTCTGGTGCCTCAGGGAGACGTGTCTTTGATCTCTGCAAATCTCCCTCCAGTCTGGACATACTGGCCCCTCCATGCTGGCTGAGAACAGACAGCATTATCCAGTGTAAGTAGATCTAGTGGAACAAATCCCTGAGGAAACTTTTTAAAAAATGCCTGCAAGGCAATATCAAAACCAAAGCTTTTCCCCAGAATCTTCATTTTCCAAAAAACTAAACTTGCTTGGTATACAGATGTCAGAAGATATTCTTAGTTAAGCCTAAATGGAAAAATCTTCCACCCATTCGTTCATTCATTCATTTATTTACTTATGCACTCTACATTATTTATCGTGGGCCCACTGCTAGGTATTTTGCTAGGCAGCAGAGGGGCAAGGTAAGTATACAGCTATTAACTATGACAAAAGTACTTTCATCATTATTTTCGTTATGAAAGCTGAGATTTAAAAGCAGTCTCCCAAAAGAATCCTCACATCTCTATTCCACAAATCCACGTTAAGTATATATTCAACACACCCACATTAACCCACATTTTGCTGGAAGTTGCACCAAACATTAGGAGTATATGGATGTGTTCCCCAAATCTTAATGAGAGGAGAGAGAGTTATACCAAAATAGGCATAATGTACATATTTAAAGCTATCTTCTAATGAGTCCATTGTAATTTTAAGGTGCTCCCTCCCTCAGTTGTCCAGCCCTCATCCCCAGGACTGTGAATAAAATGTGGTATCACACTTGTGGTTATGCACATTTCATGGCAAAAGGGATGTTGCATGTGTAGTTAAGGATACTAAACAGTTGACTTTGAGTTAGTCTAAAGAGCGATTATCCTGTTGGACACCAAGCTTACCACTTTAAAAGGAGAATTCCTCTATCTGGGAGTAGAAGAGGAGTTCATAGGGGAAGGCTTTGATTTAAGCGAGGTTTTCTGTTGCTGAGATGGAGAGAATCACAGAGCAAGGACCTGAGAGCAGTCTCTAGATGTTGAGTGTGGTGCATAGCACCACAGCCAGCAAGAAAACAGGGACCTCAATCCTGCAACCCAAGGAATTAAAGTCTTCCAACAGCCTACATGGAGCTTTGAAGCAGCTCCTTTCCCAGAGTCACCAGAGAAGAATCCACCCGCCTTGATGCTTAGACATCAGACTTGTGATTCTCTAAACAAAGAACCTGGTTGAACCTGCCTGGACTTGGGACCTTCAGACTATGAGACTACAAATAGGAATTCTTTTAAGCTGCTAAGTTTCTTGTTATTGATTGTGCAGCAATAAAAAAAATGAATATGTCATCTTTGGTTATTCTGCATTTTTGTAGATAGTTTGTAGTTAAGTTGTCTTAAAACTTGAATGGATGCTAAGAGACCTATGTGGTTCTTTAAATTGATAACAAAATGACCTGCTTATATTTGTACAACCCCATTTACAAGTGCTTTTGCATACAATTTTCTTATTTGATTTTCACAGCTTTTGGGGAATCTGTATACCAGTTAAAGATGAAGAAACTGAAAACTGAGGATAGATGCGCTATGATGTGCTGACTAACCATCCGGGTACGTGGTAGGAGTGGGAGTTGAATTCAGGCCCAGCACTCCCACTTGACTTGGGCTCATCAGGAAACTGACAGGTTACCCCACATACAGGCTATCTTTCTATCTTGGTTTCTCTTTGTGATTCCTAACATCATCATCATCATTGTCACCAGTGTTGAGGACATTCTTTTTCACCTGCTTGTTTATTAAATGCTCATAAACTGAATAATGGTAGTTAAACAAGTTTTTTTTTAAGTCAAAACATTTATTGAACACCTATTACGCATCATGAAACTTGCCATTCAACCGGGCAAATAAAATGACAAGTGTCCTCTTGGTTATGTACTATGGCACTGGATCTTAGAAATCCACCAAGAGTGTGTTCTTCCAATGCATGTAAAATATATAAAAATTAGAAATAGACTATTTTCCTGTGGCTAGCTTACACAATGAGATAATCCGGCAATCTTTTATGTTCCTCTCTATATATATTTTCAAATTTATGTATAACATGGTTTGTCTTTCTCCGTGAAAAAGTTGTTTGGGGAATTATTTATATTTCCAGATTATTCTAGAAATTGGTTAGGGCAATTTAACTTGTGTTGGAGAGATTAGAATCTGGCAGATCATAAGATAAATTTTCCAGTGTGTAATCCTACCAGGTTCCTCCCACCCCCTCCCCCACCCCCACCCCTTAAGCATGGTGGGATGGTGAGCAGGACTTGGGATGGCCAACAAAACCTGCATTCCCTCTCCTACACAAACCTGCCCTGTGTCCCTTTGAATCAATCTAATTTCCCAAGGAGCCTGTCAGATTGAAAGCAAAGGCCAAGCCATTCCCGACATAGAGCAGAGCACCCACTTCCCTGAGTCATGCTTCCTTGTTTGGTTTACCTTTTGTCCTCAATCTCTGTTTCTCTCTCTCTCTTTTTTTTTAATTTATTTTTCTCTAGGAGTCTTGAAGAGTAGAAGTAAAAAAGTGCAAGAGTGAATTAAATTTGAAATTTGAGCAGCAATTCTGCCATCATCATTTAATCAGAAAATTTAGGGTTAATGTGGGAGGGCCTAACCCATCTTTTGGTTTCTGTTGCAATCTGCCCCTACACAAACTGTTATCATGGGAATAGAATCACGTGGGCGTGACATCCCCTCCCATCCAGAGCATCCTATGCACAGATGAGGCTCTAAGGAGTTATGGGAGGGCCTGAGAAAGGATATTTTCTGACCTGGGTCATTTCTGGAAAGCCTGCTTCTGGAGGGTTTAGAGGCTGCTAACTGTTGGAGCTTGTCTTGAAGCCACATTTTTATGGAAGGCCTGCTGTTTGCATTTAGATTACAGCAATACGTGGGGTGGGTGAGGGACAACTGCCCCTTCGTACCCCCAGCTCAGCCATCACTCTGTGCATCATTGTTGATAAGCCACTGTCTCCTTGCCTGTGTATCTGAGGACACTCTTGGTGTGCGGTCCCCACAGCTACTTTTTTGAGCCAGTTGGAAGGAACCTGGAGCCAGTAGCTTTTGCCCTATTTGGTTGATACGAAAAGCAAGGCCAGTCAACCAGAGACTCCTAGTTACAGATGGAATCGATGATGGAAACGGAGAGAGTACTGACGAGTTCTCCGTGTTTGGTATACATGTGATGAGGGGAAAAAAAGCCCAAATTTAAAAAAAAAAAAATCCATTATGCCTATTTCTTTTCTATCAAAAACAGATTAAAAAAAAATCAAAGTCCCATCTGCTCTGTGTCAACATTAGAGATCGTACATTGTGTTTTATCAAAGGCAGGTTTGCCATGGCGGCGGGGGTTGTATTTTTGAAACGTGCTTGGAAACCCAGAGCAGCTGAAAACAGAGCTTGGCACCTCTAGGCCTTTTCCCGCTGCCCCTGTTTGTGTTCCTCCAGCGCTTGATGTTTTTAATTGATTTGTTTGACCAGACGTCCCTGGAAAAAGACAAGCAGGTAAGGGCAGCCGGAGCCTCTGGGACAAACACAGGGAAGGGCTCAAGGCTTTCAGCACAACAGGGCAGTTTTCTTGAAAGAATCTGTTCTCTGAGCACACAGCAATGGCCACTCGCCCTGCAATCCCAGGCATTCACATTGAGGGCCGTTGGCTAAATCTGTTCATGAGCTATGCCAGGGTAGAGATCCAGTCCTGGAGCCTCCTTTCTGTTCTCCTTCATTTGCTCTGCAGGGCCACCCTCGGTATCGACTGGACAGCTGGTAAGCGCAGGCAGGCTTGCTCCTAATTGCTTGGCTTCCAGGCCAGAAGGGAAAAAAGCAGACAAAGCCACCTACCACTGCACTCTGGCTGCTCTCCCTCCCTGCCATGACCACTGTTTCCAATGTCCCTCCCACACTGCTCTAGTTACTCTGAGGATAAAACATGGTGCTATGTGATGATGAAAAGAAAAAGGCTCCTGTCCCATTCACAGCCTTCAATAGTTGTTGCTTTCTGAATGCATATTGCTGCTAGTGGGATCATATTGCTGCTCCTGAAAAACAATGCTGGCCTCTTCTTTAACTAGAGGTAGTGAAAATAGTCCTGAAGGAGATCTCTGTTCAGGGGAGAGTCATCGAATGACTCCTTCAGTTGCATACATTTAGAATGAACAGGTATCCATGAGGAGTAGCAGTGATTGAGAAGGGTACGATCTTGGTCAAGGTGTTAATCACCCGGATGACTGCCATGCAAAACTCATGGGAGGGCCAGTCTGCAATAAGAGTCCAAGGATAAAAGGAAGCTAGGAAGATGGGCCAGGATAGAGACCAGGGTGGTCTAGCCAAAGCCTAGTGATAAAAGAAATAAAAAAGACCCCCCACATAGTTGCTTAGGTAGGTGGCCCAGGCTCACAGAAGCACTCTTAAGTACAGGGAGATGGGAAGAGTGGGTTTTGGCAAAGTAATAGCTGAAGCGGCACCAGGGCACACTGGGTAACCTTTGGAGCTAAGTGGCTGAGCTTGTAGCTCAACATGGAGCTTCTCTGTGCTCTGGCCAGTGACCTAGATCAAAAAGGTCATCTCAGTAGCAGTGGACATGCATCAACCATCAAGTTATGCAGAGCACAACATGGCAGCAAGAAGAAATGACTGTTGACAGATGAAACCGCAATTTTTTTCTTTCCTTGCTATTTAGAAGCAGAAGCAAAACTACCTCACTCCCCTCCTGTCCCCTTTAGATACAATGGACATGCTGATACACTTCTACAACAATTGCTGGGGAGACCTCAAGTCTTTGTCTTTTTGCTAATAGGCTAGGTGAATATTCTTTTGATTATTTGGAAAAATGAAAGAGCTGTAACCATATTTGGAAGTCACATTGAAGTAGGCATATTTTATAGTTTCACCTCACATACTCTGAGCTTGAAAGTGAAATTTATAGCTGCATTTTAAGAGTTATTTTAGGAAAAAAAATGCCGTCTTTTGCCTTTTCTAATTGAAATCTCATCTTCTCTATCCCCAAAATATTTTGTACTGGGGAAAGTGTATTCTGAGATATTTCTGACCCCAAAGAGAATAGGTATGAAAATCGGAGCGAGCCACGTCTTTCAAAGGACATTTTTGTGGGGATTGGTTCCAAAGCCTAGTTGTCATCTAAAGAATGTACTGACTGTTGCTACATTCCTGGAATTCCTCAAGAGACTTAAGCTGGAGACCCTCCACTAGAGATCACAGTTCTCAGGGCAGAGCTAAGACCCAGGCTTCTGGGAGGAAAATCGTGGCTGTGGGGATTAAAGGGACCCTCATTAAGTTTGCATTACTGAAAGTGATTTAACTTGAAGTTATATTGAATCAGACCACCACTGCTAAATGGGTGCAATGGAATGTTCCTTGGTGCCACTTTATGGCATTGGTGGGGTGGGGGATGGGTAGGGCAGTGCAGCGCTGAATAGTCCGCATTTCATTGTATGGTCAGTGAACTCTTGGTGTGTTCATGTTGGAACCAAGGCTGTAGTGGGCTTGATGTGGTTTGGTAAATGTTTTCTGTGGGCTATAATTATCGATTCTTCAGGAGAACAATGCCCTTTTTAATTATAATTTTCAATCCCTAGTGCTTAGTATTAAGTGTTTATCAAATGAAAGAAAGAATGAATGAATATTGATTATTCAGTCAGGGTTTCAGTCCATGCTACATCATATTGACTTTAGTTATTCCGATGTCATTACTCTGATAGTGAGTCTTAACTTTTTTTTTATCTTCCTCACTTGTGATGATCTATTTTACATATCAGTTTTTCCAGACTAGCCTTCTTAAGGAGAAGAGTTATAGCCACGTCTTGTTCGGCTCAATAGCTTAATGTTCAGCAACTGGCCACGTTTGCTACAGTTCACGGTAAGAACATGGACTCTGGAGCTAGATTGCCCAGGACTGCATCTTGATTCCTTGATTTCCTAGCTGTGTGATCTCAGGCAAACTGTCTGTGTCTCAGAATAAAATTAGATAATGTTATCAAACAACATAGAGTTGGTTGGGAATTAAATGACAAATACATTTAAAATGCTTGAGACAGTGATATATGCTCAGCAAATATTAACAATGACTATTTTCCTTATTATCATTGTTGATAATATACATTTGTCAAATAAACACAAATGCTTTATCTCATTGAACCTGTTTTCTTGTCTATAATATAGGGCTATAATGTAATAACAATAATACTCTGAAGGGCTGTTATGAGGATCAAATGAGTCAAAATGAAACAAAAAGAATCAAAATGTCTTTTTGAACACCTTCAAGGAGATTACAACTCTCTGGTACCATTATTTCTAATATGAACTGTAGCATAGAAAGAAGTGATTTTTGTATATTTCCACAGTATGAATGAGGCAGGGCTGGGCTGGAATATTCTTGGTTCTTCTCTGAGTGCCCAAAGTACTGCTTAGCTGTGATGTAAATGCTAAGGGCCTCTGGGATTACGGTGCTTTTTTCAGTATTTACACTAAGGTACAGCCACGGGTCCTTCAGCAAAGCACTGTTTTCATTGAAGCTGCCCTGGTTTTACTGTCCTTAGCCTTGCCCCCCTTATCCAAATGTCTGACAACTCTCAGAGCTGCCCTGGTTCTTGAGAAGCAAGACGTGAATAGTCAGCTCTTTATTTGCAGACTGGATGTTCTATGCACAGATTTTATCAGGTGCTATTGAGAACCCAGAAAAACCACACAAAAGCATAGACTAGGAGTCAGAACACATGAAATGAAGGCATCATATTTACCATTAACAAATCCTGGTGCCCTGGATAAGCCTACGGATATTATTTGGGATTCGGTTTCCATATCTACAAGGTAAAAGCAGTTAGATCATTTCTAAGATTCCTGCCTTAGGAGTCATGAGTCCTTTGTTCTACTGGTGCCTCTGCTGTTCTCTTGCACCGTGACTTTGACTTTGGTCCGATCACAGCTTCTCTTTGATCCATAGTGTCCTCATTTGCACAGCGTTGTTTCCCTCCTACTATGCTAGTCACTGCTCCATTTAATCACAACACTCACATACACACACTCACACAGACATAGGCACACACTAAGTGTCAATGCTTATTGTGTGCAAAAACCTATAGCTCAGAGCTTGGTGTGCATGTTTTAATGTAACCTTTAATAACAGCTTTATGAGGAAGGAATTTTTGTCCTAATTTTACAGATGGGAGAACTGTGAAAGCTAAGAGACTATAACCGCATTACCCAGTGACCACCACTAGTCAGTGGTATAGCCAGGTTCCCAATACGGTGAATCTGATTCCACGTAACCATTATGCTACATGGTCACATAAAGAACATTGTCCTTACCTGCATCATATCTGCCCAAGAGTAACCTCACTTCTGTTTTATTAAAGTTACTCAACTAGTGGACATGTGAGGAATGTTGATTCATAGAGTGCCTAGATTTTAGCCTGAGATATAACACGAGATAGCTGGATCCTCAGCGAGTTAGAAAACTGCCCTTGTTCAGTGGAGATGCTGCCACTGAATCCAGCAGCTGCCTGGAGGGTTCTGTCCTTTTCTTTGTTGACATTTTAAACAATAGCGTGAATGAGGGCACGAACTGGGCAAATTCACCGTGACATGATTTTGGAAGGGCTGGCAAAGAGACTGAGTGACAGAATCAAAATGGGAAAAGGTGTGACCTGTTAAGCACTTTATATGCATTATTGCATTTTAAACTCCACAGCTCTGAGTAGGACTGATTATCTCCATTTTATGCATGAAGAGACCCAAGCTTAGGGAGGTGACCATTCAAAAATGACACAGCCTGTGAGTTGCCTCCCCCGCTCCCCACCAAATAAACATTTTTTAAAGCTTGGAATAATTTTTTATTTATAGAAAACTTGCAAAGATCCACAGCATCCTGGCATTCTGGTAAAATCCTTACTCAGTTTGCTCTATTGTTAGCATCTTATGGTAGTAGATTTGTTATCGTGTACTAAATTCCAGTTTTAATCTGGATTTTAATATTCTTTCTTTCCATTAATGTCTTTATATTAGTTTTTTAGGATTGCCATACAAAATACCGCAGATTGGATGGCTTAAAGCAACAGAAATTTATTCTCTTAGTTCTTGAGCCAGCAGTCCAAAACTAAGGTGCCCAAGCTACCTCTAAAGGCCCTAGAGAAGAATTTTACATTTCCTTTTCTGGTTCCTGGTGTCTGTCGGTAATCCTTGGTGTTCCTTAGTTTATGGACACATCATTCCAATCACTACTTTCACCTTCCCTTGATGTTCTTCACTGTGCTTGAGTCTCTGTGTACAAATTTTCCTCTTCTTATAAGAGGAAAATTCCATCATATTGATTTTCCAGGCCACTTGAATCCAGTGTGACCTCATCCTAACTTGATTATATCTGCAAAGACCTTACTTCAAAATAAGGTCATAGTCACAGGTTCTTGGTGTATATACATTTTTGGGGGGACAGGGGAGAGAAACACTATTCAACCCAGTGTAATCCTCTCTCTATTTCAGCAGCCAATCCAGGGAATCACATTGCATTTATTTCTTATGTCTTCTCATTCTCCTCTGGTCTATTACAGTTTCTTAGTCCTTCTTTGCTCTTCACGACATTGACTGTCTTAGGGAGTACTGGACAGCTATCCTGGGGCTGTCTCAGTTTGTCTAATGTTTCACTTATGCTTGAGCCCAGATTCTAGTTACTGAGCTATAGAAATGAGACATTCCTGAGAAGCAGCTGTTGGCTTACTCTCTTGCCTCTCTCCTTGGTGGCCTGCATAACATCGGGCACAAAGGTAGAGGCTCAATAAATACCTGATAAATTGATAGATGCAGGACTGGCTGCCTTCCTGCCTCATCCCAGCTACCCTTCCCCAAACATGGAACTGCAGCCTTCCCTCACTCATATATATGACAAACTTATTCACATTGTTAATGTTAATTTACATTACTTGTGATCCAACAATATGTAAAATGCTACCGTGAGCACAGAGTTGGACATGACCCCTGCCTCGTGGGCTGGACAACGGCAAGAAAGCAGAGATCATCTGCAGGAATTGAGCTGCATACAAAGGCTCCTCAGCTTGTCAGGGCCTAGGTGAATTGACAGGAGGAAAGACTAGAACTTGCTCTTCTTTTGCAATAGGTAGATTATGTGGATTCAAATCCTTCACTGAATATTAATGATAATCAAACAAAGAAAGCCCTCTTAATAAACATATTTCAGCCTTCAATTCAGTTTTGTAGTGAAGGAAGGGTATATATAAATAAGTAGATTAAAATTCTGGAATGCAAGCATAGTCATGTATTTGCTTTTTTGTTTATTTATATATTTACTAATATATTAATGTATTTACCCCAGGAGTGGGTAGGCTGATGCACAATGGGCTAAATAGAAAGAATACATGATTTGGAATTAGCTGGGCTTCTTATAAGTCTGAGGTCTCCTAAGTTATCAGTTATTCCTAAAGCTAAGGCTCAATTTTCCCTGCTTTAATATCAGGAAGGCACATCTCCTTGCAGTGCTGTTTTTGCCTGCTTACCATTTGCTTCCCCTTCCTTGATCTAGTACAGGGCACCACCCATTCCCATTGGATGCAACCTTTGTTCCTGGTGTCCTAGGCTCCCCCAGCCAAAGAGTGGGCATATATCTCCAGATAGCCCTGTGGAGCTTCCTATTTTGGGAATTTGAATCTCAAAGGATGTGCTAATGGCAGAAGCAACAAGCAAATTCATTCTGGAAGAGTTATTCTGAAGAGGCTCTCTGTTGGTTCCTGCTACCCAGAACCCTTGGAAAGACTTCTGTTTATTTTTTTCACCAGTCAGGCTATTCATCTTTTTCTTGTATTTTGAGAGTCTCCTCCTATTCTCCCCACAATCATTATATGCCTTTATGAAAGCTAGAGCTGCTCTCTATTACCTGTGGCCAAGAACCCTGATGTGCATCCCTTTGCTTCCTCACAGCCCTGCCTCATTCCAGGAGCTAGAGATAATTCCTTCCTCCTCTTAATTCCCATATTAATTTATTTGTCTCTTCCTGAGAGCCTATATAGCTTTTTCCTTCACATCCTGTTATTTTGGGTACCAATGTTGTCTAGTCACTAAAGAGACGGTCTACCAGAGTGGTGGCCGTAGGCTGAATTGAGTCCCCTGCCCAAATTCCTATACTGAAGTTTCTAACTCCCAGTATCTCATGTGAGTGACTGTATTTGGGGACAGGATCTTTAAAGAGGTCATTGAGGTTAAAGGAGATCACTGGACTGGGCCCTGGTGTTCTTTTAGGAAGAGAAGATTAGGACACAGACACATACACAGAGAAGATCACATGAAAATATCAGAGGAAAACAGCCATCAACAAGCCAAGGAGAGAGGCCTTAGAAGAAACCAACCCTGCTGACACCTCACTCTCAGGCTTGCAGCCTCGAGAACCATGAGGAAATAAATTTCTGTTGTTTCGGCCACCCAGTTTGTGGTGTTTTGTTACGGTAGACCTAGGAAACTAATGCAGTGGCCAAGGATGCAGACTCTGGGGTAAGACTACTTGCTTCAAATATACCTGTGATGATGCATGAATTATTTAACCACTCACTGCTAACATTTTTTGGTGGTGGGAGGAGTGCATGGAGGAAGACACAGAGGGTGTGCTTTGAGACTGTGTCAAGGCCAAAAGGCAGTGAGAGGAAGAGATGAGGAAAGTAGAGTTTCTCCTTCCAAATTGCTACTACCTAAACTGATTTCTCATCTGGAGGAAGCAGAGGGGACTGTCATGTTTTGTTAGTGGAGTTCCCTCTTCATGGAAGGAGACATGGGAAGGCATAAGATATTCCTCTTTGCTTTTTGTTTGTTTGTTTTGTTTTTTCATTTTATTATTTATTTATTTATTAAATTTTTAAAGATTTCAGTATATTACAGGGGTACAAATGCTTAGCTTATGTGTATTGCCTTTGCCCCACCCGAGTCAGAGCTTCAAGTGAGTCCAAGCCCCAGACAGAGCTCACCACACCCATTAGATGTGAATATACTCATCCCCCCTTCCCCCTCCTACCTTCCCAACATCTGATGAATGCTGTTACTGTATGTGCAGTTAAGTGATGATCAGTTAATATCAATTTTATGGTGAGTGCACATGGTGCTTGTTTTTCCATTCTTGTGATGCTTCACTTAGATGTAGATGGGCTCTAGCTCTATCCAGGATAATACAAGAGGTGCTAGATCACCATTGATTCTGTGGCTGAGTAGAACTCCGTGGTATACATATACCACATTTTACTAATTCACTCATGTATCGATGGGCACTTGGGTTGTTTCCACATCTTTGCAATTGTGAATTGTGCTGCTATAAACATTCTCTAGTCCATTTTGTGTTGCTATAAGAGAATACCTGAAGCTGGGTAATTTATAAAGAAAAGAAGTTAATTTGGTTCACAATTCTGATGGCTGGAAAGTCCAAGATCAGATCATGATACATCTGGTGATGGCCCCTCTCATGGCAGAAAGCAGAAAGGGAGTTCCTGGACATGTGCAAAGAGATCACAGGGCAACAGAGGAGGCAAGGGAGAGAAACCAAGCAAGACTCTTTGAAACAACCTCTTCTCTGGGGAACTAATCTGTTCCAGAATTAATGCATTCCAGAGAGACCAGAAACTCACCCTGGCTGTAGGACACTAATCCATTCATGAAGGTTCTGCCCTTATGGTGCAAACCTCCCACTAGGTACCACCTCTAAATACCACCACATTGAGCATCAAATGTCAACATGAGTTTTGGTGGAAATAGACTTCATCCAAACCATAGCACTCTCCTAACAGGGTGATGGTTAAGAATCAAAGACAAATAGTTAAGAACAATGAAGTTCCATTTGTGTGCTTTGGACAAGTCACCTACCCTCCCTGTGTTCCTGTTTCCTCATCTCTCAGATGGAGAAAATGATACCTGCAACTCACAGCATGGCTGGGAACAGCACATGGGAAAAAATGCACCTAGTCTATGAAAAGTTCTCCATTGGTGTACAAATTTCTCCAAGGCAGGTGCCCTGATTATATTATTCACTTTTTATTCCCACCTTGTAATTCAGGGCCAAATATGTGGCAGGAATTCTGCTTACATTTGTTGGATGACTAAGTGGCAGCTGTTATTATTAAGGGAGAGAGTAAACAGATGGGCAATTGCTCAGAGCCCGGCTTGCTGTCTGTGGGTTTTATGTGCTAGCCCCAGGCTAG